TGATATCATATACGTGAAGGACAAACAGATCAAGGGAAAGCAAAAACACATATACAAGAAAGAAATTGTCGCAAAAGACAACAAGGTGTCCGTAACCACAGTTAGTGGGAAAAAATCCACAAAACCCACATTAGAAATGTCAAACGCAGGAATACACATGCTAGCACTTGAAACTGAAAGCAAAAAAAATAAAAAATACAGAGATAAATTAATTCTCAGAAAATAATTTTTCTTTTTATTTGTAACCAAAATTAATGAAACCAAAAGCAAAGAACATGTTCACTACTACAAGAGCCCGGTTTGTTAGTGGGACAAATCGTGTCTTAGTAGCGGGCGGCGCCATCGAATTTGACAAATGGCTACGCTGCCTTCAAAACGGATCACACGATCCCCCATAGCTAGTTCGAGAACAGTATGGACCTCTATCCTACAAAAGATATTAAACTTAATTTTTGCAAACTTGCGCCTAATCCGCAAGAAAAAAGAGAAAAATAGTTTAGCGCCTAATCCGCTTAACACATATCGATACTTAATCCTTGCGCCTAATCCGAAAGAGAATATATAAAGAAAACGAGAAAAAGATACAACAAAAGAAAAGGAAAAAAATAAGAATCATTTTTATTGCAAACTTGCGCCTAATCCGCAAGAAAAAAGAGAAAAATAGTTTTGCGCCTAATCCGCATAACATATACCGATACTTAATCCTTGCGCCTAATCCGCAAGAGAATATATAAAAAAGAAAAAAACAAAAAAGAAGAGAAAAGAATACAGGAAAAAAATGAATCATTTTTATTGCAACTTGCGCCTAATCCGCAAGAAAAAAAAAGATAACTAGTTTTGCGCCTAATCCGCATAACATATATTAATACTTAATCCTAGCGCCTAATCCGCAGGACGAAAATTAGAAAAATATTTAAAAAATACAATTAAACATACTAACTGAAACTAAAGCAATCCACAATTGTAAATTGTAAAGTAAAATCAATCATAAAATTGTTCCTTTCTTACAATGTCATAACACTAAAATTCCGAAACAAATATATTCCTTTGAAATTAACTTCAACTTAGAGCAAAAAAGAAAAGATACTAACGATATTGTAAAACAAGTATTTGTGATCAAGCTAACAATTACTAACACACTAACAACAATAACATCCTTGCAGATTCCCACTGCTGGCATCAGCCATCAGCGCCCTCCATATATTTCACTATAAACCCCCAATCGTAACTATCCAAAACGGGAATGGGTGGATCATTGGCGGATCCTTCAAGCTGGTTCACGTTATCAATCTCCAGCAATATGTTACCATTGTGGCGCAAATGGAAAATTTGGCAAACCGCTTAATGAAGCGCGCTGACGACCAAACCTTAGGGCATCTCTACATCAACCAAACATTAGAACGACTTGAGGAACTTACGGGTAGCACAGGCAGAGCAAGGGTCACCCGCTCTATCGACTGGATAGGCTCAGCATGGAAATGGCTAGCAGGATCCCCAGATGCAACCGACTGGAACTACATTCTCCACAGCCAAAATGATGTCATTCGGAGCAATAACCACCAGTACAAGATCAACGGAAAGCTCTTCGCCGCCACCCAGGAAGTCCTAAAGAAAATCGACGAGGTGGTGAATCGCGAAAGAAAATGAGGCAACGGAATTTGATCAAAATGCACTACACAACATCCTGCTCGTTCGCGAAGAGGTAAACGAAATCGTGCGCGCATGTCAACTGGAAAAACGGGGTATTGTCAACACCAATCTACTTGACACAGATGAGGTCAACCAGGTACTGTCAGAAATAGAGACCCTTCCATACCAAAACGTAATCGAGGCTATTGAATACGGTCAACCATCGGTATGCACGAATGGGACACTGCTCCTCTACGTGCTCCCAATGCCGAAAGTAACGGCTAACAAATATAATCTTCTGATCACCCGCGCCGGCATCTACGAACATAAACAACTTGACCTACCGTTTGACAGGATGCTCGTCAATCAAGAGGAAACATACGGAGTGACAGGAAACTGCATGGTAATCAGTTCATCTACAGTATGTAAGTCAGAATCCTCGTCGAAATTGGAAGAGGACAGCTGCATTCCACGACTACTAAAAGGGGGAGACGCTAGCTGCCAGTTCGCAAGACGAAACGGATCGATTATAGAATTGGTAAACGACAATACAATATTCCTCTCAAACTACCAAGGCATGATCAGTAGCAGCAATGCCTCAAGCACTATTAACGGCACCTACAGCATCCAACTAAGTAACGAAACAGTCAGGATTGGTGACCAAGTATTTTCCAGCAACGAGGTAATGGCAGCGCAAGCTCTGCCAGCCGTCCTTTCGAATGTCAGGAATCACACAATGAAGGTCAACCTAGAATATGTGCACGACATCACGATGGAGAACGTTAAGTATCTAGGATACGTTAATGAGAAGATCAATTTTTCTATCTTTACAGAAGCCCTAACAATATGCGCAATAATCGTGGTCGCTGTTATCCTATGGAGATGGTACACTAGAAAGCCAGACCTACCAGAAAGTTCTGAACATTGGCGCAGTGACATGAACACCAATAAGATCACGAAGGGCATATCCACATAT